GTATTTGTTATAAGCAGGTTTATTGAAAAATATATAAAAAATGTGATTATTTAAAAAAAAAATTTCAAAATCGTGAAGAATAGACAGCGCTTTTAAAAAAAGCATTGCTAAAGGGGTAAAAAGAGGCCTAAAAAAGCGCTGCTATAGGTTGGAAAAGGGGGGGGGGGGGTCTAAGAAAGCGCTTTAGAAAAGCGCTGTTAAAGGGGGGGGAGGGTCTAAGACAACGCTTTAAAAAAGCGTTGCTAAAGGGGGGGGTCTAAGAAAGTGCTTTTAAAAAGCGCTGCTAAAGGGGGAGGTGAAGTGGGATTAGGCAGTGCTTATAAAAGCGCTGCTATAGGGTGAAAAAAGCGCTGCTAAAAGTGCTGATAAAGGCAAAAAAAAAGCGCTGATAAAGGCAAAAAAAAAAGTGCTGCTAAAGGCAAAAAAAAAAGCGCTGCCTTTACCTTTAGCAACGCCACTTTAGGCAGCGCTTTTAAGCGCTGCTAAAGGCCAAAAAAAGCGCTGCTAAAGGTCTTTTTTGGCATAGTGGTTATTCAAATACCTATTAGGTCTTGAACAAAGTCGTTTCCCATTTGATTTATAATTTTCGTATATTTCTATAGATAATGTTGGACAAAGGACAATATTACCATCATTATTTATTGGAAGTAAGCGAGACATGACACAAAGATATCAAGATGGTATGGCTATTGTTCTTAATGATGGTAAACCAGATATATTCCTTACAATGACATGCAATCCTTCCTGGATTGAGATAACTTCCGAATTAGGAATCCATCAAACTCCACAAGATCGACCTGATTTGCTAACAAGAATTTTTCGATCAAAATTTGAGCAGTTGAAGGATGATGTCATTAATAAAGGAGTCTTGGGGAGAGTTAGAAGTTATATGTATGTAACGGAATTTCAGAAACGTGGACTACCACATGTGCATATGCTACTCATCTTGGATACTGATGACAAGTTACGGGAACCTGAAGAGTATGATAGTGTGGTGAAAGCAGAAATACCACGACATGAGTCTGAGCCAGAATTGTATGAAGCGGTGTTAAAACACATGATCCATGGTCCATGTGGAGTATTGAATACAAAATCTCCATGTATGAAGAATGGTCATTGTAAAAAAAGATACCCAAAAGAATTTTGCGAAGAAACGCGTCAGGGAAATGACTCATACCCGAAATACAAAAGAAGGTTTAGTGATCCCATTTTTCTAAATAGAAATAAGTCTATTGATAATATATGGGGTGGTTCCTTATAACCCATGGTTGTTGTTGAAGTATGATTGTCACATCAATGTCGAGATTTGCAGCAGTATCAAAAGCATTAAATATTTATATAAATATGTTTACAAAGGTCCTGATCGAGTTGCAATGGAAGTTCACAGAGGTACAGGTTTGTATGAGATTCAACAATATGTTGATGCAAGATGGATTTGTGCTCCAGAGGCATTGTGGAAAATATTTAAATTCACACTTTACAAGTTATATCCATCTGTTGAAAGACTACAAATCCACTTGCTAAATCATCATCAAGTGCGGTTTTATAAGCATCAAAGAATCACAGATGTGCTAAATGATGACCAAAATGCAGTAACCATGCTCACTGAATTCTTTGCACTAAACCAAATGGATCCACATGCTAGGAATTATTTGTACAGGGAGATTCCAGAGCATTATTGTTGGCTAAAAGGGGTCAAAAAATGGCAGCGAAGACAGAGAAAACGAAAAGTTATTGGTCGAATCTATACAGTATCCCCTTCAGAAGGTGAGAAATTTTACTTACGTGTTTTGTTGTCTCATTTAAGAGGTCCAACAAGCTGGGAATACCTTATTACACATAATGGTGCATCTTTCTTCACATTTAAAAAATCAGCTGAGGATTGGGGGTTATTAGAGAGTGATAATAGTATTCGTGAATGTTTGCTTGAAGCATCAAATATGCGTATGCCATATGCTTTACGAAGGTTGTTTGTGACTATATTAATTTTTTGTGAACCAACTGATGTTAGAGGCCTATTTAATGAGTTTTATCCCTACATGGTGGAGGATTATCAAATGACAAATGTTGTTGTGGGGGATAACTTTGAAAATATGTTATTGCGGGAATCGAGGGATCTTTTGCTACTGCATGGAAAACTAATAAAAAACTATGATCTTCCAATGTTGACAACGGAAATAAATGAAGTCGGGGGAGTGCTAACAATTATTCGAGAAGAATTATCGATCCAAATTCCAAACGAAGACGTTCAATCTGTTGTGAAGTTAAATAATAACCAGATGAGTGCTTACAATATAATTATGAACGCCATCCACCAAAAACAATGTCAAAATTTTTTTGTTGATGGTCCTGGAGGGACAGGTAAAACTTTCCTTTATCGAACTATAATGGCAAATTTGAGGCGTAATAATGAAATTGTCTTAGCAACAGCTTCCTCTGGTATAGCTGCTACATCATTACCTGGTGGTAGAACTGCACACTCTCGATTTGGGATCCCCATTGATATAGAGCCCCATTCTATTTGCAAAATAGTAAAGAATTCTGACCTTGAAAAACTCATTAGAATAACCAGTGCAATCATCTGGGATGAAGCACCCATGATAAATAAATATTGTGTAGAAGCATTGGATCGATCACTTCAAGACATCATGAATAACAATGCTCCATTTGGTGGAAAAATAATGATCATGGGCGGAGATTTTCGTCAGGTGCTACCAGTTATTGAAAAAGGAAATAGAGGACAAATGATTTCAGCATGTATTGTTAGGTCTCGATTATGGGCCACCACAAAGGTCCTACATTTGCGCCAAAACATGCGATCAATTCATGACCAGGACTTTGCGCAGTTTCTGGTGAGGATTGGAGATGGTAATGAACCTACTAAAGAGGATGACATGGTCAGAATGTCTGCTGAAATTGTAATACCTTGGGAAGGAGAAAGCTCCATACAAAAGCTTATACAACATACATTCTCCCCCAATTAGAAAACCATGGATGGGATGCTTCATATATGGTGGAGAGAGCCATACTTACTCCAAAAAATTGTGATGTGCATATGTTGAATGACATGATTATTGATAAATTCCCTGGAGATGAACATATTTTGTTATCTTTTGATGAGGTTGAGGGTGATACTCATAATATATATCAACAGGAATACTTGCACACGATTGCTCCTGGTGCTTTACCGCCACATATTTTAAAGATAAAAATAGGGGCTCCACTGATGTTGTTGCGAAACATAGACCTTAAATTTGGGTTGTGTAATGGGACAAAGTTGTTATGTCGTGGTTTTTTTATGAATTTGCTTGATGTTGAAATACTTACAGGCCACAATGCTGGAAAAAGAGCTTTCTTGCCAAGAATTAAGCTCAAAACCACTGAAGGTGCGAGACTTCCTTTTGTGCTTATTAGAAAACAGTTTCCTATCAAACTAAGCTTTGCACTCACTATAAATAAATCACAAGGACAAACAATTCCAAATGTCGGAATTTATCTTCCATAACATGTTTTTAGTCACAGACAATTGTATGTTGCTTTATCAAGAGGTGTTTTGCGGGCTGCAACAAGAGTGGTAATTAAAGACTGAAGAGTAAGTGGGGAAGAAGGGGAGTTTACAAAAAAATATTGTTTTTAAAGAAATTTTGTTGTCACAAACTCATATATTTATCTATTACGTTTAATCATTCAACTATACTTTTGCAATCTCACACTAGGCGTGTACTTACTAAATTACACTATACCGTTGACTACTACTAAAATTTACTTCATTTGTTTTGCAGTGAAACGAGAGATATTTCTGATTTTGATCTCATGGTTGACCTTCCTATTAAGTAATAATGTAACTTAATATCCGTGTTAATGCTTATGTTTAGTTGCTTAATAAATTGTGAGAAAATTTTTTGTTCTTATTCTATCTAAATCTTCTTATGGTTTTGACTAATCTATAATACTATATAAATAATATATAAATACAAAACTTAATGTTTTATCATATAAATAATTTATATTAAAATCAATATAAATAGTTTATAGTAAAATTATATTTATAAAAATATACGCTGTTAATATTTTTACGCGTTAGCGCAATAAAAAAAGCGACGTGCCCGTTTGGACGCTAGTATTGAATAATAGAAATTTATTGAACATATTTTTCAAATATGTGGAAAAGATTAAAGAAACTTATTAAAAATGATTGAGTAGATATTTAAAAATTGTATTAATTTATATAATACAAGTTTTATAGTTTTTATTTTTAATCATATTATTTTTAATATTATTGTTTAACTTTTACCTTCTATATTTATTACTATTTTAACTTAAATTTATTATTACTTTTAAGTTTTTTTTTTTTTTCAAATTTTAATTTTCATAACAGTTTGTAAACAAATATGCCTTCAAAATCAAATCCCATCAAAAAACGTACCATGTGCGTAGACACGAATTTATTACTAATTTTTGAAAAAGATAATTTTTATGATAAACTATTTGAAATAACTTCAAAATTAAGTAATGTTTTTTATTTTGATATTTAAATTTTTTTTAATTAAAAATAACTATTCAATTAAATTATTATTTAAAACTTTTATTAAAAATGTTAAAAATATTTTTTAGAAAAAAAATATAAAAATTATTTTTTCAAAAAAAAAAAACTCATATAACGGACCCATAGCCATCTTCAATTAAAAAAACAAAAAAAAACAAAAAAAAAAAAAAGCAAAATGCTTGTAATAAGGGATGAGGAAGTATTTTAAGCACCAAGTTGGAATATACCTTTGAACAGGCTGGTTGAGTTGCATTGAATGGGAATAAATTCCCTTATCTACTCTTAATAACCGGCTCAAAACCTTATCGGAGAGTATAAAACCCAAAATATACTCTTCTAATTAACGAATATTCCCGCAATATTCCCCGCGAATATTCTATCCCTTACCGTTATTATATCTCTAATCAATTACACCAATCCAATTCAATTCATCTTCTAATCTTTTACCTAAACGATGAAATTCGGAAAGAGCCTCAACAACCAGATCGAGAAAACCGTTCCCCAATGGCGCGACAAGTTTCTCTCTTACAAGCTTCTCAAAAAGAAATTGAAGCTTGTTCAACCAACTTCCGATGAACGCCCGAACAAAAGAGCTAGGATAGACGGCGACGGGGAAATGTCAAATGAAGAAACCGATTTCCGGAATTCCCTTGAAAATGAACTCCACAAATTTAATAGTTTCTTCGTTGAGAAAGAGGAAGAGTGCATTATAAGATTCAAGGTACCAATAGTCATTACCATTTCTATGCTTGACTTGAATTATCGATTTAGGGTTTGGGATATAGGGTTTATGATTTTGGATGATATTTGCAGGAGTTACAAGATTGTGTGGCTAAAGGAAGGGGTTCTAACGAACAAATGATGCAAATTCACAAGGATATTGTTGATTTTCATGGAGAAATGGTTTTGCTTGAAAACTACAGTGCGCTTAATTACACAGGACTAGTGAAAATTCTGAAGAAGTATGATAAGAGAACAGGGGCTCTCATTCGGTTGCCATTCATTCAGAAGGTTTTGCAAGAACCGTTCTTCACCACTGATCTGCTCTACAAGCTTATAAAAGAGTGTGAAACAATGTTGGATGGCCTTTTCCCCTTCGGCGAGTCCGTTGAATCGAGCGGAGATGTTCCTTCTACTTCGTCAAGTGCTACAAACAGCGATGATCAGTTTATGCTGAAGGAGATAGGTGAAATGCAGAAGAGTCTCTATTTGAAGAGTACAATATCTGCTTTGCATGTTCTGCAGGAAATCAGAAGTGGCAGCTCTACAGTTAGTATGTTTTCTTTGCCACCATTGGAACAAACTTTGAACAAAATTTCTGTTTTTGAACAAACAGCCAAGTAATAGGAGAGGAGATTTAAGGCTAGCCTAGTGGATTGAGTATTTATTTTTTTCTGTCTAAAATCTAACGCCTTCTGTCATAGACTCATAGCATACATCAGATAAATACCGACTTAGATTTATGATGCTGAATTACTACTGAATATATTGAAATCGTAGAAATGTTGTTTCATTTCCACTGTGTAACCATAACCAACTATGTTTTTGTTGGGTTTTAAAGGGATAGAAAGGAGATGAATTGCTTTTCCTTTTATATGATCATATGTTGTTCTTTCAATGTTCTGAAAATATCAAATATACAGAAACTTTGCCCTCTAAAACACTTCTTTCAACATCTAACTTACAAATTTATTGGCCCGGTATCCTTGTATGTGAAAACTTTTTGAAATAACTAAACACCAAATATTTTTGTATCTTGACTCATTGTGTACATATGCATTAAACTCCGTAGAGTTAATCTGCATCATTCTTCCAAAATTCAACTTGCAAACAAAGTCTATAAATGTATTGAAAATATCAATATCGGATAGAACTATGGGTTCCATATAATTTATTAAGAAATTGGAAACTATTGTTGTATGATACTATGGCATGTTGATTACATGAGGTTGTAATGTGTGTTATAAGATGAGCAAATGAGTTGGATTGTTAAGAGATTAATGAGATTGAGAAGTGATGAAAACATAGTTTTATATACATCCTTGTACAATGTTGAATTCATTGTATAAAATGCTTGAATATATTGTAATATGGTTTGGGTGGTTAGAGGGTGAAGATGGGTTTAAAATTGAGTTCTTTGGGAAGAAAATAGAGAAATTCAGCTCTGCATGATTTGATTTGAGTCCGGGAATCAACCTGATTCGAATCAGTAAAATTTTGCAGAAAAACCTTTTGTCATATTTGATTCGCCGTCTTGATTGCTGTCAGTTTTAGGTTCCATTCCATATAATGTGAAATGAATGGTCTTTTTCCAATGTTATATAGGATAAATGAAGCTAAAATCTGATGGTGCTATGATGTGCTAGGGATTCTAGAATTATACATAAAGTGATTGTAGTCATTACACGATCAAATATCGAGACACGAAAGACAGGTACAAATAACACATTAATAATGGATTGTGATAGAGGTGGAAAGTACAAGGAAGTTGATAGTCCAACACAATGCGCTGCTAAAAAGGTGGTTATCCATTTAAAATCAAGTCAACATCATCTAAAGATGGTTCAAAATGGAAGAATGATGTAAAATGTGGAGTTTAAAATTATAATTTACTTGATAGATTGAAAGGTCATACGTTTGTGGAGCGTAGTGCAAATGGGTGGAAACTTGTTGTGGATTTGCCAAAGCGTCATGTTTCATCCAAACACATACTTCTGTCGCTGCAACAGCGAAATCCTAAGAATGTCACTCGAACACGCAAATATATAAACAGAAGGATATGCATCAAAAATAGTTTAAAGTTTCTAAAATAAGGATTTAACATTTTTCTAAGTTGGTAGATCATGCATATTATGTTTATTTAAGTAGAATAAGAGATGACTGAGATGTTCTAAGATATATTTTTTGGACTCACCTATATTCACTCAACTTTTGAACATTTTTTCTTTTGTGCTGATTATGTCAAAACATACAAGACAAACAAATACACATAACCGCTGTTTGAAATCACTGGTGTGATGTCAACTGAGTTGACATTTTTAGATACATTTGTCTATATGGAAGTTGGGAAAATGGAGAATTTTTGTTAGATATTTAGATAAGTTGAAACAATTGTTTATTAAGGAAGAGTTATGTCCCAACTGATTTTGACCAATAGAGATCTTGAATTGAAGAAAGCAGTTAAAGTTGTTTTTTCAAAAAGAATTAATTTGCTTTATCGATTTCACATAAACAAAAATGTTGATTCAAAATATAAGCAAGATGTTTAGAATTATATGCAAGATCCAATAATCACATTATGGATAGATGTTGTACGGTTGATGAGGCAAAGTATCAACAACAGATGCATTAGTTTGAGCAAGCATGTATTGATTTTTGTCTATTTGTTAATTATGTGAAAGTCATTTGGTTGACTGCTCATATGCATAAATTTGTTGGTGCATGGATCAATAAGTGTTGCATTTGTGCAACACAATGACTAATATATATGATTATCAATATTTAAATTTATAATTTAAACATTTTTTTTATTACTATGAATCCCGTTTTATGTGATGTTGTTTTATTTTATTTATGGTTGAGTCTGCTCATTAAAAATTAAAACACATGTTAAAGAACACTATAGACGACTTGTGCAAATGTTGGAAGAGTATAAATAACAACATAAAGTTACAATTGGACATCATCGGAGCTTTTTTTTAAATTTTCTTATATGAAATTTGGCATACATACACCATTCCATTTTATGAGAAACCATATGAATTAGTATCAAAAGTTTTTTAAGAATGAGTATGTGAAAACTAACACCATGATATGTGGGTGTACTTCTAGAACATCAAATGAGTTTCCTTGTTCTTGTGAGTTAGGAAGATATACATTGGATGGAGATTCGATACCAATAGATTATGTTCATATTCATTGGAGGAAATTAAGTATGAAAAAGAAGTAAGAGGTAGGCATAAATGTTGGATCAATGTTAGACATGATTAATGCAATTGAAGCATTGTGTAGAAGTCTAAGGTCACTCGATATTGAAGGGAAATATAATTAAAATGTAGGGTGTGTGAAATTGTTACGCCCACTATGAGTTCAATATGCCCACTACCTCAACAAATAAAAAATAAAGGAGGAATGAGGAAAGAGAAGACACCAAAGGGATAAGATGCGTATCGACACCCTTCATATCATGAACTAGTGGACCAAACATATTTTGATTCTCAAGGATCATCAAAAAGGCCATGTTCATCGATACTTGGATAGTAAAATTATAGCTAGACAAAGTATATATATGAAAATATATTTGGAAAACGCATACAATAAGTGATATAATCTTTGAAATTAACATGTTTGGGTCCTTAGATATAAGAGAAATGATTGACCATACTAGATATGAGTTATGTGATGAAAAAAATTGGTATAATGTTATTCTTGTCACATTAGGGTTTCATAGTCTAAATTTTTTTCCTATGAATACTTCATATTTACATATGGTCTCCATTTATTACATTGATTTTGTTAATCAAAACTATTGGGTTCAGATAATTATAAATAATTACTTTTCTTAAAAATAAGAACTTTAACCTTATGTTTTTCAGGAAATAATGAAATAAGGATTTTTAGATTTGAATCCTCTCCTTTTTTATATATCATGCCATCTCACATATTTCTAATCTAACGGTTCAGAATTTATAATGAATAATTAAATAAAAAAAGTCATTTAATAGGAGAGAGAAATGAATAAGTAATTTATCTTTGTTTTTTATTTAATTATTCATTATAAATTCTGAACCGTTAGATTAGAAACATGAGAGATGGCATGATATATAAAAAAGGAGAGGATCCAAATCCAGAATTTTTGATACCCTGAAGTCACATTGAATTGGAAGAAATCTTGTTCCTTGGAAGTAACGACTTGGATGTTAGGATTTGTTTGGAATCCTACAATATTGGCTTAAAATGTTATTATGCATGTTATATTTTGTTAGATGTTATTATATTAGAAGTCACATTGGATTGGAAGAAACCTTGTTTCTTGGAAGTAACGACTTGAATTTTAGGATTTATTTGGAATATTGGCTTAAAATGTTATTATGCATGTTATATTATGTTAGATGTTATTGACATCATATTATATTAGATTTTTTTATTTTATTTATTGGATGCTAAAATAATCAACATAAGTATCGAGATTAATGCAATTAATTCATAAATCTAGTGTTCATAATAATACATCATGATAAACAACAATCAATATAATTGTCGATCCGAGCTAAGAGTAATTATTGAAACAAGTGCCTAAATGTGTGGTTGTCTTCCTTTGAATATACATCTTGCATATGATATTGTAGCTTGCTAATAATCACTGATAACCTAGGATCCGAAGGTCCTACATCTGCATGATCATCATAGACTAAAATAGACATGTGCATATGCGACTCCTGAGGGTGAGGGATATCAAACAAGTATATTATACCCTATATATGAAGGGAAATCACAGTCTAAAATGCATCAGAAATTAGAATTTTGCCTTTACTGATTCTTACAAATGAGCATGATCAGTGATAGAAACGATTACCTCTTGTGGCGATTAAACCCTTTGTGCTGAACGGAAGGAGTGATCACGAGCGTTAAATGATGGATGTTACGGTGAGAATCGGATATCAAGCTACTAATTAACTTGAATCACAAATCATAAAAGTTCACCACCGAGCTTTGATTTATCCAAAGGAAAGGGTAAAGATCGAAGAAAACCCTAAGTGCATTATGTAACAACACATTTAAGAAATCTAAGGTTCGGGGGTTGATTATTCTAGGGAAGGTGTTAGCATCCTAAGTATTTGTAGTAATCTACAAAAACCTCTTGTTAGTATTTGTGTTATGCTAAAATTTTCCTGCTAAAAGGAAAAGTGCTAAGGTAAAGATCTAAAATATATATAAAGTATGTACAAAGTATGTTCGCCAAGACATCACATCTCGTGCCTACGTATCTTGACGGGAACGGAATTATAGCAGCCGTAGTTCCCCTCAATAGGAGTGAGGAACTCTTGACTGTGGTCATGGTTCCAAAGGAAAAAGTAAATGCCTGCGGTGAGACACCTTCATAGAGTGTGGCGACTCTAAACCTAAGGCTAGGTTAAACGGGAAAAGAAATGTCCATGGAAGGATACTCACATAGAGTACGGTGACTCTGATCTTAAGGCTAGAATAAACGGACAAGACCCTCACATGGTCTCAGGGGAAAGATGGACAACGCTATCCAACATGACATGACAGTCAACTATGAGATCTTTTTCTTTGGAATCATATAGGTAAGATGCTAACCTAAAGTTGTCATACAAATGATC